TGTTCGTTTGTTTGGTATATACCAGGGGTCAGCAATTTTTTCTGTAAAGGGTCAGATAGTAAATATTTTAAACTTTGTGAGTCAAGAGGCAGTGTCCTCAACTCCTCAAGCAACCATTCTTGCCAAAAGCCTGAAGTCTTATTTTACACTTTACATTTTGAAATGTAAAAACCATTCTCAGCTCACCGGCTGAACTAAAACCAACAGGGGGCCTGATTTGGCCACTGGGCTCCGGTTCACTGACACATGGTATCTGTGCATGTATATATTTTATTTCCAAAAAAGGCTAATGCTGTATATATAGATAGATTTTTATCTGGTTTTAATTTTTTTTTAATAAATTTATTTATTTATTTTTGGCTGCATTGGGTCTTCGCTGCTGCACGCAGGCTTTCTCTAGTTGCGGCGAGCAGGGGTCACTCTTCGTTGCGGTGTGCGGGCTCGTCATCACGGTGGCTTCTCTCGTTGCAGAGCATGGGCTCTAGGTGCGTGGGCTCAGTAGTTGTGGCTTCAGTACTGGGTTTATTTGAACATGAGGTACTAGTCTAGCACCTGTGGGAGACTGGACAAGATGCTGAGCAAGTTGTGAATCTGTGCCTTGGTTTTCCCATGTAGGAAATGGGAGATGATCATGCCTCTCCTACCTGACTCATGAGGAGTAAATGAAATAATTAGTTTGACACTCAACTAAGGAAAAAAAAGTCACATTTCTAGCACAGGAAGTACAGGTCCCTTAGCAGCAGACAGATTTTGTAATTTAAAATGTTTCTGGGTAAATTCCAGTGGTTAGGACTCTGTGCTTTCAGTGCCAAGGGCCTGGGTTTAGTCCCTGGTCAGGCAACTAAGATCCTGCAAGCCACTCAGTGTGGTCAAAAAAAAAAAGTTTCCATTTAGAAATGTAATATACTGCATCGTGGGTCTGTTTGCAGGGGATCTGGGACAGCTTGTTGTCATGAAACAACGTTGATATTTCTGTAGCAAAAAAAAAAAGGTATATGAATGTTCACACAAATAGTCTTGCATCAATTCAGGTCAAGTTTTGCCACCAAATGAGTTAATATCAGGTGAGCTTTAGCTACCAAATGAGTTTTTAAAAGTTCAATTTTCTGAGCTTTTTGCCTTTAAGTAACGCTCTTCTAAGTATATTACACAGGGTGTCTCCTTCAGTATGCACGATAAGCTTATGAGACAGATACTGTTACTGTGCCCATTTTACAGATAGGGAAACTGAAGCCCAGAGAAGGCGAGCAACTTGCCCAGGGCCACACAGCTGGTAAATGGCAGAGCTGGGATCCAAATGCAGGAAGCCTAGACCACAGCAGTTCTTAACCTGTGCCTTAAGGATAGATTTTATGGAGTTTGTGAGCCTGGTTGGGGCCGGGCGGGGGGGGGGGGGGGGGAGGAATTATATTTATTTTCACTGCCTTCTAACTAAAATTTAGCATTCCTTCGATTATGAATGTAGACAGCAAGCCACAGCAGCATGAACAATGCCCATGAGTGCTGCCAATAGGAATCACAGATATTGCTTATTGCAGGGGCAGCAGACACCTCAAGATAGCAGTTATGCTCATCACTACTTTGAAGTTACAGGAGTTCTTAGAATCACCACTAGATATTGTCAGTAAATGAACTAATAAAGAAGCACATATGTTACTATGTCACAAAGTTTTAAAAAATATTTTGATAGTTGTATTTCAATATAATTGTTTTCCCTTGTGTTTTTATCAGTATTTATGCATTTAAAAAGCGTGACGTTGGGAAGGGCTCCAGGGGCTTCACCAGACTTTCAGAGGAGTCCAGAACCCAGAAAAGGCTGAGAATGCTTGGCCTAAAGCTATGCTTTAACCACTACACCCTGCAGAGTTAACGCGAATTTGCATTGAAAAAAATGAGGAGCAGGGAGGAGAGACCAAAGGTGTTATCGATCATGTCCGGGTGGTGGGATAAAGGCTGACTTCCTTTGTGTTATGCCCGTTTGTGTTTCTGAAGTCATACAGTGAGCATGTTTGACTTCACCATTCAGGAGGGAACTCAGATATTTAAAGAAACAGAGCATTTTCTTTCGGCCCATAAGACATCCCTACCAGATACCAGTTAGTACTGCTCAGACCCTGATAAAGTAAACTCTAAATTAAAACTGTTGTTGAGATCAGACTTTAAGGGATTTCATGAGAGTAGGTTGATCACATTTCTCCAACTTTAACTTTGAAAGAACAAAAGGTCCATTCCTGCCTCCCAGACAGACAGCCAGTGATTGGGAGAGTCCAAAGCCCGGGTGCCTTGGGATGCACCCACACCATAAGAGAAGGTCCTATTTTTGCCCTGACTCGACTCTAGCACTTCACAGAAGCAACTATTGCTGAAGCAAAGATCGCTAATGATAACGTCTTCCTCTTGCCGCTGCCCTGTGAGTTAGCAGGGTGAACCCAGGGTCTCTGGTGCCTTTCATTCTTCATCTCTTGCTTCTGAATCTCAACCGTCGTTCAGTTCCGCGTTGGCAGTTATTGTGGTCGTGGCTGGATCAGACAGGAGGGAGAACGGGTGGGAGCCACCTGCCCAGGTGGTGGGTCCTCAGAACAGGGTGGGGAGAGAAGAGAGCACTGGAGGAAAGGCAGAGAAGCCGAGACAGACTGTGTCCCTGTGCAGGTTAGTGATCCATCCTACTCAGCTTCAAGGGGGACTTGAACCCGGAATTTCTGAATCCTATCTGGCTCTCAGAGAATAAAATCGAAGCATCATGGTGGGGTTTACGGGCTCAGCATCACCAGCGGAAGGACCATGACCAAAACCCACAGCCCACATCTGCTGCCCACACACAGCCTGTACCAGATAACCCTCAGCTGCCCACCAGTTTCCAACCCCATCCTCTTCACTCCTAAAGCAACTTGAAAACACTTGTTTATAGCATTCACACTGCAACTCAGTTACCTGCCTTAGTACCTCTCTGTCCGGCTTCCCCACCAAGCTGTCTACTCCTTGAGGGCACAGGCTGTATTTGGGGGGAGTTTATTACCATGGATAGGAGCATGGATTGGAATTCTGCCTCAGCCACTTCCTGGTTGTGTGATCTTGGGGAAGTCACTTCTCTCTAAGCCTTTGCTTTTTCATCTGTAAAATGGGTAGTCAGTGATTCAACTAAAAAGTATTAAGGGCTAACTCTGTGCTAGGAACTCTTCTAGTTGCTGGAGATTTAGAACGTGACAAAAACCACTGCCCAGCTGAAGCATGCGTTCTAGCTGGAATAGGTGTGAGAGGAGGTGGCAGGCATAAACAAGCAAATAAATTCAATAATAACAGTAGGCACCTCATGTGGGTTATTAAGAGGATTACTTGAGATGAGGCCTTTAAAGTGCTCAGCTAAGGCCTGGCTCATGATAAATGCCAACAGATGACAGTGCTGATTATTTTCTCCAGGAAAAGCATTCCTGACCCCACTAAAACGGGCACTCCCACCCTGCCCACCCCAGGCCTGGCTGCTAGCCCTTTGTCTTGACTCTGACAGCACATCTGCACAGCTTGATCATGGCATTTACTACATTATACAATCATATTCTCTTAGCTGCATATGGTTCCACATTGACCTCACCTACCTGAAACACGTACAGTGGATTTTTACTTGTATTTATATCTTCAGCATCTCACATGGCACCTGGCCCACAGTTGGGACCAAATAAATGCTTGTTAGATCAATCAGAGATCAAACCTAAAGAAAACCCCAAGGCCTCAAATGGCATTAAAAAAAAAACTTGTCTCAGGACTTCCCTGGAGGTCCAGTGGTCAAGACTCCACGCTTCCACTGCAGGGGGTGCGGGTTCCACCCCTGGTGGTGGAACTAACATCCCACACGTCCCGTGGTGCAGCTACAAAAAAATTTAAATTTAAATTTTAAAAAAACTTTTCTCAGACTTGCTCTGAAAAAGTCCTGGTAGTAACCAACCTCCAGATGGCCTCTGGTGGTCCTTACCTCCTCACCTATGTTCTTGTGTCACCAATAGAAGATTGAGGAAATGACAATGTGTACATTCCCAGGTAAGGTAATAGGAGACATTGTAGCTTCTGCGTTGCTCTCTCTTGGATCACCTGGTCTGGGGGAAGCCAGCTGCCGAGCTGTGAGGACACATGAGAACTCTGTGGAGATGCCCACATGACGAGGAACTGAGGCCTCCCGCCAATACCCAGAACCCACTTGCCTGTCATGTGAGTGCACCATCTTGGAAATAGGTTTGTCAGCCCCAGTCAAGCCTTCTTTGGACCCCAACCCTGGCCAACAATTTGTCTGCAACTTCACCCAGCTCAGCCACTCCTGAATTCATAGGAGACCCACAACATTTTTAAAAGAAATGTATTGGCATAAACAAGCAGCTCTGGACTGAAATGAGCAGAGACAGTACAAAAGGAAAAGAGGCCTTTGAACCCTCAGACTTCTGCAGGCAGGAAGCAGGCTGCAAAACTACTCAGGTGCAAACAGGATCTGCATTTCTTGCGAAAAGAAGAATGACTCGGAGAATAGATCCCTGAGTCCACAGGGTAGAACCAAGACATGTAATCACTGCCTCCAGGTCACAGAGCTAATAACGGTAGAGCCAGACTTCAAGCTGAAGCAGTCTGGCTGTCAAGTCCATGCTTCTCGCCTTTGCATTATACCATGTCTCTAATGGATGGTTGCATGGGCAGATAGATAGTATGATTTTGGTTCACTGAATTAATATTTTAAAATAGCAAGGGGTGCTCAAATACACAAAGAGAATTCCAGACACCAGTGACCGGGTATGTATTGATCTGATGATTGATGGTCTTCATGACATTCACTCAAAGAACGATACAGCCTCTCATCCTGAGCCTTTTCTTTTTACACAAAGAAAAATATTAAGGGGACTTCCCTAGTGGCACAGTGGATAAGACTCGACGCTCCCAATGCAGGGGGCCTGGGTTCAATCCCTGGTCAGGGAGCTGGATCCCACACGCGTGCCACAACTAGGCATTCACGTGCCGCAACTAAGGAGCCCACCTGTTGCAACGAAGACCCAGCACAGCTTCAGCCCCAGCCGTAGGCACAGCCACCGGCACAACCCCAGCCCCAGCTCCTGCTGCAGCTCCTCCAGACTCCGTCCCTACACCGACGTCCTGGAGGTTGGGATGCTCTTGTCCAAATCCAACTGTCTTGCCTGCCTGCATGCCGCGCCCTGCAACAACCTGCACGCCACCAAGCTGGCGCCCGGCAAGGAGAAGGAGCCCCTGGAGTCACAGTGCCAGGTGGGCCCGCTCCTGGGCAGCGGCGGCTTTGGCTCCGTCTACTCCGGCATCCATGTCACCGACCACTTGCCAGTGGCCATCAAGCACGTGGAGAAGGACTGTATTTCAGGCTGGGGAGAGCTGCCTGATGGCACCCGAGTGCCCATGGAAGTGGTTCTGCTGAAGAAGGTGAGCTCGGGCTTCCCCGGCGTCATCAGGCTCCTGGGCTGGTTCGAGAGACCCAGCAGTTTCGCCCTGGTCCTGGACAGGCCCGAGCCAGCAGCGCAAGAACGCTTCGACTTAATCACGGAAATGGGGGCCCTGCAGGCGGAGCTGGCCCACAGCTGCTTCTGGCAGGTGCTGCAGGCCGTGCGGCACTGCCGCAGCTGCGGGGCGCTTCACCGCGACGGCAAGGATGAGAACACCCTTATCGACCTCAGTCGCGGTGAGCTCAAACTCATCGACTTCAGGTCGGGGGCGCTGCTCGAGGACACCGTCTACACGGACTTCGATGGGACCCGAGCATATAGTCCTCCAGAGTGGATCCACTACCATCGCTACCATGGCAAGTCAGCAGCCGTCTGGTCTCTGGGGATCCTGCTGTAGGATATGGTCTGTGGAGATATTCCCTTTGAGCACGACGAGGAGACCATCAGGGGCCAAGTTTTCTTCAGGCAGAGGGTCTCTTCAGCGTGTCAACATCTCATTAGATGGTGCTTGGCCCTGAGACCATCAGATCGGCCATCCTTCAAAGAAATCCAGAACCATCCATGGATGCAAGATGTCCTCCTGCCCCAGGAAACTGCTGAGATCCATCTCCACAGCCTGTTGCCAAGGCCCAGCAGATAGCTTCTGGGCAGGTTCTCCCTTCTCTGTCAGATGCTTAAGGGAGGGGAAGTGTGTGTTTCTAGCTTCCCAAGTACCAGTGACACTTCTCTCCAAGTAGGACAGTGCTTGATACAGGAACAACATTTACAACTCATTCCAGACCCCAGGCCCTGGAGGCCACCTCCCAAAGAGAGGAGGAGACTCCACTCCAGCCGTCCTAGGCCTCAGCTCCTCCCATAGAAGCTCTGCTTCTTATCGGTGTCCAGCATTGCTGGACTTTGCAAAATCCCAGGGGTGGGGGTGGGGGGTGGGGGGTGGGAGTGGGTCAGAATCCAGCCATGGAACTCTTCCCTTCCTCAGGAGTTCTGCTGAGGGCTTCCCTGGTGGCACAGTGGTTAAGAATCCACCTGCCAAGGCAGGGGACACGGGTTCGAGCCCTGGTCCGGGAATCCCACATGCCACAGAGCAACTAAGCCCGTGCGCCACAACTGCCGAGGCTGCGCTCTAGAGCCCGCGAGCCACAACTATGGAGCCCGTATGCTGCAACTACAGAAGCTCATGCTCCTGGAGCCCATGTGCCACAACTACTGAGCCCACGTGCCACACCTACCAAAGCCCACTCACCTAGAGCCCGTGCTCCGCAACAAGAGAAGCCACAGTGATGAGAAACCCACGCACCGCAACGAAGAGTAGCTCCCGCTCGCCACAACTAGAGGAAGCCCGTGTGCAGCAACAAAGACCCAACACAGCCAAAAATAAATTAATTAATTAATTTTAAAAAAAAGTTCTGCTGAATGCCGTGATGGGTCGGGTAGGGGGAAATCGGGTTGGGGTGAGATAGGACTAGCACCGTTTTAGGTCCCTGTCACCTCTTCCAGCCCTTCTGAGTGCCTTCTGTGGGGACTCCAGCTGTGCTGGGAGAAATACTTGAACTTGCATCTTTTACGTGCTGCTTCTCCAAAAATCTGCCTGGGTTTGGTTCCCTGTCTTTCTCCCCCACCCCTTCCCCCCACCCTTCGTACGAAAGGTGCCATGGAAGAGGCCACAGGGCCAAATGCTGAGCCACCTGCCCTTTTTCCACCTCCTTTAGTAAAACTCCCAAGTGAACTGGCCTTCCTTTTTGGTTTTTACTTAACTGTTTCTAAGCCAAGACCACACACACACACACACACACACACACACACACACACACACACACAC